GATCTCTGTCGAGAGGGCCCTTATTAACTTAGGGTGTCTCGTGTTCCGGAGGCCATTTGGGCCTCCGGAATCTGCTGCTTGGCACGAGTTGCTGGATTGCGTTGCCTTGCACGAGCCTAGGGTGGACGGTGGGCCCGACCAGGTGCGTTGGCGCCTGGAGCCCTCCGGCATGTTCTCCACCAAGTCCCTCTACCTGGCCATCGCCCCCACCTCCGCGCCCCCTCCCCCTCTCGATAGTGTGGTCCATTCGCCTACCTCTGAAAATCCGGATCTTCATGTGGCAATGGATTCGCGGTCGGGTTCCGTCCGGGGTTGAGGTCTGCAAACGAAATGGCCCGGGCTCGGGCATCTGCCCCCTTTGCGGTGTCCCCGAAGACTCGAATCACATCTTCTTCTCCTGCGTGTCCGCTCAGTTCGTTTGGAGCTGCTTTCGGGAAGTGGTTGGTGGCGATTGGTGCCACAACAACTTCCCCGACTTATTTGCCGAACTCCAGAACTCCCCCGTGTCGTCTCGACACATTAGGTGCCTTGAGATTGGGGTCCTAGCCTGGACCCTCTGGACGGTCCGCAATAAGCTTGTGATCCAGCAAACCCCCCTTTGACGAGCTACTGACGCAATCTTCAAATTCTCTGATTTCTTGCAGCTTTGGCGGCCGCTTAGCCGCTCCCAGGACCACGACGCCATCTCCGCCTTCATCGCCGACCTCCGACAGATGGTCGTCCGCCTGTCACCGCCGCCCCCGCCGCCTCCGCCAGAGCCTGATTAGGCACCTTCCTCGCCTGTTGGCGGCTGCCTAGTTTTCTTTTTCTTTTTTTGTGGGCTTGTTGAGTTGTGCCCTCAGCAGAACCTATGTACTTTTATGTGAGACTTGGGTGTGTGCGTGTGGACTAGTCCGTGTATGTGCGTTCTCTGGCGGTTTGCTTTATTTATAAAGCGGGGCGAAAGCCTTTTTCGGTATAGGCAACGTCCAAGCGCAATGCTCCTTCGCTGGCTTGTTCTGTTCTCAGCTGATTGGCTCCGTGTCTCTGGTATGACCATCAAACTGACCGGAATGCTGATTTTGTTTCCGTTTCTCTCTAGTTATATGCTCAAGTAAATTACCTCTCAACCTTCAAGTTTTGTTGTAAAATGTGTTGGCCCGTTCTCCTTCTATTTTGTTGGTTTCCAGGTTTTTTGTTGTTGTAATTATGTTTCATCTGCTAATTAAGCAATCAAATGAGTATTAAGCAAACAAGTTATACTTTGGGAGTTCAACACAAGATAAACTATGTACATAACACATGCATTTCAAGAAATCCAATTCCCATTTAATATATAAATAACTTTTCCATCTGCAAAGCAATTCTCTGTTTCACTGTGTTAACACATTTGATTGAGTAGTGAGTGGAGTACAAACCATAGCCAAGCCTTTATGTGTAGGAACTGATGATATCCCCCGTTTCAGATGAGCATATCTCCACGACGTCTTTCTGCCATGTATTCTCACATGATTTGGTCAAGTGTAGCCATCGATTATCGAAATCGTAGCACAAGACAAAATTAATCTGTCCCATCTTCACAACCCTGCCCATAAATTAGGCTAAGCACATGTGTGGAGCAAACCGAAAACACAGACAGTGGTCCCTCAAATAGGATAACATTATAAGCACTTGTATCATGTATCAGCTAAGAAATGCAATCGTCCTCATTTCCCGTATTATCCATGGCACTGTGCGGTTCCAAATCTCTGGTTAAAAAGTTCCAAATTTCTGGTCGAAATGTTGCCGTACATCCTAAGAAATACTACATGAGAACTCACCAAGTAAAACTGAATCATGCCTCGTAGAAGAAAGATAATAGAATGCGATGGGACCATGAAGTTTCCAAAGATATAAAGAGCATGTCAAAGATAATGACAATGCAATTGGGAAAAAGAACAGATATATGCAGATGCAGGCCAAATGATGGACATAGAAGCTATGCATTGCAGACAGACGACCCCCAAAAAATAAATCCTTACCGAGACTAGTTAGTAGTTTGGTTAACCAAGCCAGGTAGCAGTGCAACAATTATATCGCTATTAGTTACTCCCTACGTTCCATAATTCTTGTTGTGGTTTTAATTCAAATTTGAAATTCCTCACCACTTAAAGTACATCAATGTAATATATGAATGAACAGCAATGGGGTACATAAAAACAGTTGATAAGCTCAGTACTTGTGATTTCCCACAAACTGCAATCTTCAAACATTCTAATGAGATGCATTAATTTCACATCAGTGAAGATTGTTAATATCAGAATGAACTACTATTACAAGCACATAATGGTAATCGCTGACCTTTAACAAAAATACAATGAGTTGGTTCACGTAAGCATGCAAGCAATATGCATCATAGATGTAAAAGGCAGTGCATGCGCAAAGGAAGACACTAACAACGATTGATGGAAATGATTGTAAAAAGGATTTGCCTGGACAACAAAACTTACCATTCAAGTTATCCTAAAATAAAAAATCATCAATTAGCTGGTTCAAGTAAGCATGCCAGCACATGCACATGCACATGCTTTGGAACGGTGGAACCTAATTGAACCAAATTCCACTGTGAGTAACATCATTAGGAGTAGCCTACATTTCTATCCGTTAATTACCTAATAACACATTAAGAAAACAATTTGAAAGCTAGCCAATTTTCACTGTGTTATGGAGTCAAAATAATGAAAGTGTACACCAGTTTTCACAGGTTTCTAGCGAAACCATGGTCAGGGGTAACTTGGCATAATCCATGGATGTTATATTCATATGTTCAGATTGAACATTGCGACGGAGTGCATCAAGATACACACTCTGTAGTCCTACATTGCGAAAAGTAGTCAAAATATGCACCAACTCTCAGCCCAATTTATGGGTTTTGGCCATGCCGGCATACCTTGTTGAAATTTCCAGATTGTACACAATTCTGTCCATCAGTTGATTAATTCAAACACCGCTGTCAGCTATGCACCACCACCACTCTTCATCGCCACTGACAGCCAAAATCAAATTTCTGAAATATTAGATTCTACTCCCTCCGTTCCTAAATATTTGTCTTTTAGAGATTCAAATGGACTACCACATACGGATGTATATAGACATATTTTAGAGTGTACATTCACTCATTTTGCTTCGTATATAGTCACTTGTTGAAAACTCTAGAAGAACAAATATTTAGGAACGAAGAGAGTAGTAAGTTCTGTGATCACCTGCAGAAGACCTGTGCGTCAAGGTCCTTCCTGATGGCGTCCGATTGGAACCTCTTCTTATCATCGTCCCAGAACTTGGCCTCCAGCATGCAAGCAAATTAGTTCGTTGTAGCCTTAACACAGCCCATTTCAAGAGTTGAAGTCAAGGAGCAAACCAACTGCGAGGAATTGTGAATGGCTGCCAGTGTGACATCCAGTGATTTTCACAACTACAAACTTGCAGTGGAGTCAAAAGCAACCGGAATGTATTTTCTTCCTCTCCAGAAACTGGTAGGATCACTGGCTTTGAACAAAGAGGAAAAAATTCAGTTACAAGTGACCCGCTTTTTTAAGGAACGAAGTCGAAAAAACCCATTCAACCTGGTTGGTTTCTCGAAACACAAACACCAAAAGGAAATCAAAAACTGATATCACATACAAACGTGTCAACTCAGTTGTTATATTGGTATCCTGGGGTTCATGCTCCAGCAGATCAACCAGAAACCAGCAACGACTCAAAAAATAACATATCTCATTCTTCACCATATACAGAGACCTAGACTGAACTTGTCAAGAACCAGGTCCCAAAACCGCAATACGGAGCACCCCCCACCCCCCACCCCCCACAAAAAAAGGAAATAAACACGTGCTCATATTTCAAGTACAATACATTACAACAGATCACTAAACAAGCTCACCGGTCACCGGGCATCAATGCGCAGAGTTCCTGGGCTGGCTCGAGGGTCCACCTCCATAGAGCATCTGATAGACCGGTCGGATCCTCACGGTCAGGATCACGCTCAGAAACGTTCCCAAGCATGCCATGCCTGACAGCACAAAGAACGTGAGCCTGAAACAGCTGGGGCCGTAGCATACCATGACATGGTCAGAGCCCGCCACTGCTGCGACGCTGTGCTGTTTTGCCGCTTCATGATCGTAGACATACCCGGCGAGGCTGCTGAACACGAGCGCGCCAAGCGGGTTTGCCAGCAAGATGAAGTTGTAGATCTTCCCAAACTGCTTTAGCCCAAACAACTCCGATGACGTCGACACCATCACCGAGAAATGGACGCCGTAGCAGATGCCGAGTATGGCAACGGAGATGTAGAGCGTGGCTTTGAGACCCAGAGCGAAGACTAGGTAGTTGATTATCATCACCACTTGGGTGCATGTGATCAGTACTGTCCGTGGAAGTGTCCTTGACCTGGAAAAGAAGCTTTGGTTAACCAACCGCAGGATGAAAAATTAAATCAAATTTTAGAATGTGAACAAATGCATTCAACCGTGCATTGCATCCAAACAAGAAAATTTCTGGTCGTATATTTATATCTCCTACACAGTTGGGGCTGGGAACCTTTTTCACTGTTCCAGTCTGTCGGAAAATAAATAAGGGGGAGAAATATTGTCAACCCATTATTTATTGGCTTGTAATCTGAAGCTGGAATGGAGACTTTAGTAATTCAGTTAGAGAAAGCTTTGATCCATAACCCGCGGCAGACATAACGTGTTCCTTTATAAGAGGTCAGCTCATTCTTTATTGGCTTGTAAGTTGAAACTGGACTGAAGGTTCTAACAATTCAATCAGGATAGTGGCAGACGAATATTTTTGTTTGAAAAAAAAGTCCATTGGTTACCTAGCTATGTTGGCATGCCACAGTTTGTCCAAAAAACAAACAATAAACAACTACATAACCAAAAGAACTCCATGAAACTGGTAGAGCAACTATGTAGACCAACTGGTGCTTGGACAGGTAGATGAAAGTACACCTTGTTTTGCAATTCAATAAATAAGAGATTCCATTACCTGACAAAATAATCAGAAACAGCACCACCTCCTAAGCGGCCAAAGAAGTTGCCCAAACTGAAGAGAGAGACTGATATAGTTGTGCCAACAACACCTGCTGCAGTTCCAACTTGCGCTAGATTGTTAAGAACGGTGACTCCAGACCCAACACCTATAAAAAACACTGCAAAGAGCAACCAGAAATCTGCCTTTAGCAGAGCTTCACGGAACCGGAAGTCCTCTCCCCTTTTTGGTCTTCTTCTCTTCTGCTTCACAGCCCCTTCACCCTCAGCTAAGAGAAGATCAATATCTGCAGCATCCTCATCTTCGATTTTGCCGAAATTTGGTTCAGAGGAAGAAGGCAGAAGAAATGGTTCCGTGTGATCATTGTCAGCAGCAGCAGAAGTGACTTTCCTTGGGACGCTTCGAAACAATGTCATCTTCACGGGTATCGCAAATGGTGCAAGAATGAGAATGACCATAATAGCAATCAAGGAATAGTTCAAAGCAGGGGTGAGAGTCAGAAAACGATCCAACGTCGTGGCCACCACGAGATAAACCCCAAGAAGAGCACTGTTGATCTGTACGAACAGGAAGTGAACTCGCTCCGAGGAATTCTCCACCAGAGAAGGCTCACAAGGCCTCACAAAGTACATCGCGAGAAGGCAAACGATGGCAACTCCCAGGGTGAGAAAAAGCAAGAGGTTTGCAGCTGAGCCGTGAAGCGCGCCGGTGTAAATGGCAGTGTATACAGCCGCACTCAGACCAGAGTAGCCTTTGAGGATGCCGGCAACAGCCCCTCTGCTGAGTGGGAAGTTCCTCATGTTGGTTACTAATGCGGCGGTCGACATCCACGCACCGCTGTTCGAACCCATGCATAATGCGATCCATATCTGCAATAGGGCCAACGAAAAGATTGGCACTAGTAAATTTCCACTATATGATGATCAAAGTAAAGAAAAGAAAAAGCTAGCCTAATAAGTCCAATCTTCCGCGTAAATTAAGTAAGATGTCCTCAATATGTGGCTCTTCGAGGCGATGAAAGCTTCCATTTTGTAAAGAAAATTATGTGGCTATCAGGCTATGCGCATATCGCCCGGCAAATGAAGCCAAATACAGGTGATACTTTTTCGCCCAATTGCAATCGAGGATTAACTTTTCGCCAATACTAGTTGGTATAAGTTTTGTTTGTGGAATCTTAGAAAGGGACACTTGTTTAGCTGGTCCCAACTAAGCATAACGCCTTTCCCCTAATATCAGTTCGTACAATGTAACCCAGCAGAGCAATTGAAGCATACGATTTCACGATCTAGAACCGATCTACAGTAAGGATTAATCTAGTAAAAGGGGATCTCATCGGGGAGCTCACTCACCAGCCAGTAGGGCAGCGCCGGGGCGACGCCGGAGACGGCGAGCCAGGTGACCCCGTAGCCGAGGAGGCCGGAGGCGGCGGCGACGAGCAGGAGCAGGGCCGGGTGGAGCTTGTTGCAGACGACGCCGGGGAGGAGGCCGAGGCTGTCCCCGACGTTGCAGGCGACGCCGAGCAGCGCGACGCGGCTCTGGTCGGCGCCGAGCGCCACCTTGAGCGCGTGCGAGTAGAGCGCGAAGGCGGAGCTGGTCCCCGCCGACGCCTGCAGCCACACGGCCGCCCCCAGCCCAAGCCACGGCGGCCGGCTCCCGGCCTTCACCGCGCCCGGCATCCTCCGCCGCCGCGACCGCCGCTTCGCCGGACTTTCTTCGCCCCCGCCCTCTCGCCGTCACTGCTTTCTTTCCGGGGGAATAAAGCTCTCTCTGTGGTCGGGTGATGGCGAGTCGGTGGCGACGGTGGCGGGTTTTAAAGGGGGGTTTGGGTGGGGGGCGGCGTGAGGTCAGGCGTGGCAAAGGACTAAGCAGGAGCCGCTGGAGAGGAAAGCGTAAAAAAAGCCATGGGTTTGAAGCGGCGTCGATGGCGACGGCCGGCGCGGCGGCCGGGCAAGGCCCGAAAATGTATCTGAAGCTGATTTCCGGCCGGGTGTCCGCATAGGCGTAGCGCCGCGTAGACCCTCGCCAGCTCGCCACGACGGCTGGGGGAGGAAGCCGTCTTCTTCCTCTCGCGGTGCTGGCGGTGGTGGTGGGCGGTGGATCCGATTTAGTCCATTGATGAGTAATCTATTCCTCCTGGGAAAGATTTTACGCGCTGTGCTGTTCAGATAACGGAAATGGTGGACTTTTTGCAAAGGAAAAAATGGAAAACAAGCAGTTTGACCCGACGGAGGCGCCGAACTGCTGATGATCTGTCGCAGGATCGGATCGTCTTGGTGCATGTTGTCCGTCTTTGTAAGCTGGGTTCAATGAACCATCGATAATGTTGGGGCATCTCCAATGCCGGCCCCTAAATCGCCCGCAACAGGCCGGATCGAGCGGTCCGGACGTATTTTGTCATTCAACACATTTCCGTATCGGTCCGCTCAATGGTTATGGCATGTTTTTTTCCCGCAAACTTGAGATAAACTGTGAGGCTTTATGGTTGTCCGGGCGGCTGTCACGTCCGCGACTGACTAACCTGGCTCACCAAGCAACCCCATCTGTCTCTCATGTGCTTTCCGTCCGATGCACGTGCCGCAGCAATGCCGGACCAGAGCACCCAGCGGCCGACATTAATGTCGCTGATGTGACCGGACGGGAGGGCGGCGCTAATAGATGCGACCTGAGGAGAGTCGCCGCTTCAATGCAGACGCAGCTTCCTAAGGAATCAACTCTGGCTGCTATGCTGCATTGAAGCGGCTCACCGTCCGTTCGCATGGTCTGGCCGAGGCTATATAAGCCGTGCTCCGACGCCGTCCACATTGCACTCAACACATCGCTTCGCACGTCCCCGTCCTCACCATCCCTCTTCCTCCACAACTCCAACGATGGGCAGGTTGGCCTCAGCACCGGCAGGAGGCAGCTCCGGAATAGGCCCCAAAGATTCGTGACAATACCCTCGAACTCCAGGGACGTCGTCCTCATTGGCGGCCGGTTCCTCGGTGAAGTAGGAGATCATCATCTCCTCTGGCGATGAGGAGGACCAGTCGCCGCAACAGAAGGCGGTGACGCAGGGCGTGGCCTACGTCATGACTAACAAGGAGTACAAGCAACAGATGAAGGTCATGCTCCATCGCTCCATCCTCCACGCCAATGGCCCGGCAACGTACTTTGGTCAGAGGATCAAAGGACATTCATTCTCCTTGGCCCACCACCAAAATTATAGTAATAACGTGCTGCCGCCGGTCCGCCTCGTCTCCTGTGAACTTAGCGCATGGTGCCTTTGTTGGAAATATGCCCTAGAGGCAATAATAAATTAGTTATTATTATTATATTCCTTGTTCATGATAATCGTTTATTATCCATGCTATAATTGTATTGATAGGAAGCTCAGATACATGTGTGGATACATAGACAACACCATGTCCCTAGTAAGCCTCTAGTCGACTAGCTCGTTGATCAATAGATGGTCACGGTTTCCTAACCATGGACATTGGATGTCGTTGATAACGGGATCACATCATTAGGAGAATGATGTGATGGACAAGACCCAATCCCAAGCCTAGCACAAAGATCGTGTAGTTCGTATGCTAAAGCTTTTCTAGTGTCAAGTATCATTTCCTTAGACCATGAGATTGTGCAACTCCCGGATACCGTAGGAATGCTTTGGGTTTGTCAAGTATCATTTTCTTAGACCATGAGATTGTGCAACTCCCGGATACCGTAGGAATGCTTTGGGTGTACCAAATGTCACAACGTAACTGGGTGGCTATAAAGGTGCACTACGGGTATCTCCGAAAGTGTCTGTTGGGTTGGCACGAATCGAGACTGGGATTTGTCACTCCGTATAACGGAGAGGTATCTCTGGGCCCACTCGGTAAGACATCATCATAATGTGCACAATGTGACCAAGGGGTTGATCACGGGATGATGTGTTGCGGAACGAGTAAAGAGACTTGCCGGTAACGAGATTGAACAAGGTATCGGCATACCGACGATCGAATCTCGGGCAAGTACAATACCGCTAGACAAAGGGAATTGTATACGGGATTGATTGAGTCCTTGACATCGTGGTTCATCCGATGAGATCATCGTGGAACATGTGGGAGCCAACATGGGTATCCAGATCCCGCTGTTGGTTATTGGCCGGAGAGTTGTCTCGGTCATGTCTGCATGGTTCCCGAACCCGTAGGGTCTACACACTTAAGGTTTGGTGACACTAGGGTTGTAGAGATAATAGTATGTGGTAACCCGAATGTTGTTCTAAGTCCCGGATGAGATCCCGGGCGTCACGAGGAGTTCCGGAGTGGTCCGGAGGTAAAGATTTATATATAGGAAGTCCAGTTTCGGCCACCGGGAAAGTTTTGGGGGTCATCGGTATTGTACCGGGACCACCGGAAGGGTCCCGGGGGTCCACCGGGTGGGGCCACCTATCCCGGAGGGCCCCATAGGCTGAGGGGGCGTGGGAACCAGCCCCTGGTGGGCTGGTGCGCCCCCCTTTGGGCCTCCCATGCGCCTAGGGTTAGAAACCCTAAGGGGTGGGGTCGCCTCCACTTGGCTTGGAGGCCAATCCACCCCTAGGGCAGCCGCCCCCCTCCCTAGATGGGATCTACAAGGGGCCGGCACCCCCCTAGGCCCCTATATATAGTGGAGGGGAGGGAGGGTAGCCGCACCTGAGTCCCTGGCGCCTCCCTCCCTCCCGTGACACCTCTTCCTCCCCACTTGCGCTTGGCGAAGCCCTGCCGGGATCCCGCTACTTCCACCACCACGTCGTCGTGATGCTGGATCTCCATCAACCTATCCTCCCCTTGCTGGATCAAGAAGGAGGAGATGTCTCTCCCAACCATATGTGTGTTGAACGCGGAGGTGCCGTCCGTTCGGCGCTAGGATCATCGGTGATTTGGATCACGACGAGTACGACTCCATCAACCCCGTTCACTTGAACGCTTCCGCTTAGCGATCTACAAGGGTATGTAGATGCACTCCCCTCTCTATCGTTGCTAGTCTCTCCATAGATAGATCTTGGTGACTCGTAGGAAAATTTTGAATTTCTGCTACGTTCCCCAACAGTGGCATCATGAGCTAGGTCTATTGCGTAGATTCTTTGCACGAGTAGAACACAAAGTAGTTGTGGGCGTTGATTTTGTTCAATATGCTTACCATTACTAGTCCAATCTTCTTTCGACGGTATTGTGGGATGAAGCGGCCCAGACCGACCTTACACGTACACTTACGTGAGACAGGTTCCACCGACTGACATGCACTTGTTGCATAAGGTGGCTAGCGGGTGCCAGTCTCTCCCACTTTAGTCGAATCGCATTCGATGAAAAGGGTCCTTATGAAGGGTAAATAGCAATTGGCATATCACGTTGTGGTTTTTGCGTAGGTAAGAAACGTTCTTGCTAGAAACCCATAGCAGCCACGTAAAACATGCAAACAACAATTAGAGGATGTCTAACTTGTTTTTGCAGGGTATGCTATGTGATGTGATATGGCCAAAAGAATGTGATGAATCATATGTGATGTATGATATTGATCATGTTCTTGTAATAGGAATGACGACTTGCATGTCGATGAGTATGACAACCGGCAGGAGCCATAGGAGTTGTCTTAATTTATTGTATGATCTGCATGTCATTGAACAATGCCATGTAATTACTTTACTTTATTGCTAACCGGTAGCCATAGTAGTAGAAGTAATAAGTTGGCAAGACAACTTCATGGAGACACGATGATGGAGATCATGATGATGGAGATCATGGTGTCATGCCGGTGACGATGATGATCATGGAGCCCCGAAGATGGAGATCAAAAGGAGCAAAATAATATTGGCCATATCATGTCACTATTTGATTGCATGTGATGTTTATCATGTTTATGCATCTTATTTGCTTAGAACGACGGTAGTAAATAAGATGATCCCTTATTAAAATTTCAAGAAAGTGTTCCCCCTAACTGTGCACCATTGCGAAAGTTCGTCGTTTCGAAGCACCACGTGATGATCGGGTGTGATAGATTCTAACGTTCACATACAACGGGTGTAAGCCAGATTTACACACGCGAAACACTTAGGTTGACTTGACGAGCCTAGCATGTACAGACATGGCCTCGGTAGTACTAAATATATAAAATGTAAAAATATAGTTCATGATGAATCTAGTGATAATGATTTGGTATTCTAGATATTGATATTTTTGTCTATAAACTTGGTCAAACTTAGAGAAGTTTGACTTTTTGGAAAAATAATACACCTTATATTGAGGAACGGAGGGAGTATAACATATCAGGGATAGATATGATGATCCTTGAAATATTCGCGATGTTTGACACCACGAAAGTAGAAATCAAGAAGGAGCATCAATTGTTGATGGTTAGTGAAACCACTAGTTTCAAGAAGGGCAAGGGCAAGAAGGGATACTTCATGATATGCAAAACAGTTGCTGCTCTAGTGAAGAAGCCCAAGGTTGAACCCAAACTCGAGACTAAGTGCTTTTGTGATAAGGGGAACAACCACTGGAGCAGAATTACCCTAGATACTTGGTAGATGAGAAGGCTGGCAAGGTTGATAGAAGTATATTGAATATACATTATGTTAATGTGTACTTTACTAGTACTCCTAGTAGCACCAGGGTATTAGATACCGGTTCGGTTGCTAAGTGTTAGTAACTCGAAATAAAAGCTACGGAATAAACGGAGA